GACTTTAGTCTACAGTGCATGCCTCTCTTGCATCTTTTTTATTTTTTACTATATTTACATAATTTTTCATCTCATCTCTAATCACATTAGGAACTTTTTTAAAAGGGACAACATCTCCCTAATATCGACAAGATGTTTCTTAAACCAGTTTATACCCCATTTTTATCCCTTTCATAATAATTGCAGCTTATGTAATTTTTACCTGAAGGATTGGGGTTGTAGTAGTATTTCTAAACCAGATCACCACTTCTATGAGAGCGGGAAGAAGATATCTCAAATTATTCTAAGCAATATGAAAAACAAAATTTTTTTCATTAAGCTTGATTGCTCGATCTTCAAACTTCCACCTTTAAGATGTTTTCCAATCTTAAAATCTTCTAAAGACCCTCTAAGGAAACTGCAGTCATGATAAGTTCTATGACATGGTCTTTGGAGAATGGTTCTAAGATATTGTCGAGATCTTCTTCTTCTCCTTCTCTAATCAAGTTATGGTGATAAGTTGCTTTTAGTTCTGATTCTTCTTCAAAGTTTGAGTTCGTTGGGGCTCTTGGTCTACCTTGCGTTTCTTTGCCCATCAAAAAAAAAGGTGATGGAGAGAGAGAGGATGGCCAAGAGGTAAAAAGGAGAGAGGTGGAAAGGAGTGAGAGGGAAAATGGGGTAGGTTTAATAGAGCAGGTTAGAGAGAGAGAGTATCGAGAAGTAGGGAGGAGTCAGAGGGAAAAATATGGAGGAGACAAGATATAAGTAGGGAGGAGAGGGAAGAACATGAGAGTTAGAGAGATAAAGAGGCGCAGGAGGGTAAATTTTTAAAAGAAATACGACTGAAGCCAAAAAAAATTTCATTCAGACTTGATTCTTTTTGTCTCTGGTTTTGAGTGTAACGTAAACTTTTTACATGAACCAGGAATTTTTATGAGGTTATTCAAACGGTTTTTATTTTCTATCTTCGGCTCAGTTTGGATGTCAAAGAAAGAAATATTCACATTGAAAAAAAAAATGCAATTTTTTTCCTTCGCAATTGAGAAATATTATCGCTTTATTTTATTATGTTGGTATACTGTTGGGATGTCTATTTTGCAATTGAGGAATATTATCGTTTTATTTTATTATGTTGGTATACTCTTTGGATGTCTATTAAAATATGAGAATAAAATTTTATTTGCTAGATATGTCTGTTTGGATGCATTGTAAGAAATCGATAAGAAATTTCAAACCCAATTTACACAATTTTATAATTTAATTATATTGATTCCTCTGTCGATCTGCAGTTTATTCCTATAAATGCAGGAGACAGAGAGAATGAGAAGAAGTTCAATATTATTATTAAATATTAAGTTCAATATTATTATTAAATATTCCTATAAATGTAGGAGACATAGAGAATGAGAAGAAGTTCAATATTATTATCAATCACGGTTCCAAGAGATATCGAGCAAAACCGATCCAAAGAGATATCGAGATCCGAATGATCACGATTCCTAGAGATATCGAGCAAAACCGATCCGAAGAATCACTGTTCCTAAATTTCTAGAGAGAGTAAGAGTAGGGAATCTAGAGATATCGAGCAAAATCGAACCGAAGAATCATGGTTCCTAAATTTCTAGATAGAGTAACAGAAGGGAATCTAGGAGTACAACTGCTTTCCAACAACCCAGTCGAAATGTTATTTCTAGAGAGAGTAAGAAAAGGGAATCGAGAGGAGTACAACCGCTCTCCAGCAACCCAATCGAAATGCTAACTCTGTGAAATTAGGGCCGTTGTTTCTAGAGAGAAAGATAGAAAGTTCATTGTGAAATTAGGGGAGTTGCTTTCTAGAGAGAGAGATGGAAATGTTCCTTGATGAGAGAAGAAAAGAGCTGTGAGACCTGATTGAGAGTGAGAAAGAGGCTTTTGTAAGTGCGCCTTAGGAACGTTTGGGGGAATGCCCCAAGGGGGAAGCTTTCTGCATAGTTGAAGATGAAAGAAAGAAAGCGAAAAAATTCTGCATAATTAAAATTCTGCATAGTTGAAGATGAAAGAAAGAAAGAGAAAACTCCTGAATTTTCTGTATAGTTGAAGATGAAAGAAAGAAAGAGCAAAACCCTGAATTTCTAGAGAGAGTAACAGAAGGGAATCTAGATAGTTGAAGATGAGAGAAGAAAAGATAGAAAAGTACATTGATGAGCAAAACCCTGAATCTGAATTTATAGATAGAGAAGGGAATCTAGATAGTTGAAGATGAGAGAAGAAAAGATGGAAAGGTACATTGATGAGAGAAGAAAAGAGCTGTGAGACCTGTTTGAGTGGGAGATAGCTTTTGTATGTGAGACTCCGGAAGGTTTGTTGGATTGATGAGAGAATAAAAGAGCGGTTAGACCTGTTTGAGTGGGAGATAGGCTTTTGTAAGTGAGACTCCTGAAGGTTTGGGGGAATGACCGCATAGAGAAGCGAAAAAAATCTACATAGTTGAAGATGAAAGAAGAGAGAGCAAAACCCTGAATTTCTAGAGGGAGTAAAAGAAGAAATCTAGATAGTTGAAGATGAGAAAAGGCAAAAAGTAAAACACTGAATTTCTAAAGAGAGTAAGAGAAGAGAATCTAGGAGTACAACCGCTCACCATTTGTAGAGAGAGTAAGAGAAGGAATCTAGGAGTATAACCGCTCTCCATTTCTAGAGAGAGTAAGAGAAGGGAATCTAGGAGTACAACAACTCTCCAGTAACCCAGTCACTCTCCTAGGGAATGCTAAGGAGAGCTCTATTGAATTAGGGTCACGGCTCTCTAGAGAAAAAGATGGAAATGTTCATTTTTTTTAGAGAGTGAAAAACTTGAACTGGTACATAGAGATATGATATGCATAGTTGAAGATAAGAGAAGGAAAGATGAGAAAAGGAATGAGCAGTGAGACCTGCTTGAGACCTACTTAAGAGTGGGAGGGAGGCTTTTGCAAATGAGACTCAAATTTGGAAGAAATGCCTGTAGAAGGAAGAGAAAAAAATCTACAATAGTTGAAGATGAGAGAAGGAAAGAGCTGAGAGACCTACTTGAGAGTGGGAGAGAGGTTTTCTATGTGAGACCCCTTAAGAGGGGGAGATAGGAGGGGGAGATAGGCTTTTCTAAGTGCTACGCAGAGTGAAGAGGTTTGAGGGAGGTTTTGGAGCAAAAAAAATTTGAGTTTATTTTCGCTCACGTTTTTCGGACAAATTTGGCGCATCATTATTTATTGGGAATAGAATCTAATGGGGTTATCCAAACAGTTCCCAATTGCTCAATTTTGGGTATATTCAA